ATATTGACTGTCATTTTGTAAGAGAAAAAATTGTTCAAGGGCTAGTTCAAACACTACATATATCGACAAAAGAACAACTAGCTGATCTGCTCACTAAGGGCTTGGGAAGACTGCCACATGAATACTTAGTTTCCAAGCTGGGATTGAAGAACCTGTTTCAACCATCAGCTTGAGGAGGGGTGTTGGTTAGATTTTATGACAGCTAGGATTAGAGCAGTTCACAAGATAATTATTCTAGAATCAGTTAGAAGGTTAGAAAGTTGTTAGAGTTAGTTAGCACAGTAACTTTCCTTTATATAGACATAGCATTGTAAAGATATTTTCAAGATGCTTTCAGCTTAATGAGAATGAATTCTCTTTCTTCTATAATTCTCTCTGTATCTTCTTCTTCCTGATCCTTTTGCATCTTCTAGATGGTGATTACTCCATAAGTTTACAAAGCTCTTCTTTTTTCAATTGCTTTGATGTTACTTTAATTTTGCTATGTCAATGAAACCTGTCAGACCCATTTGTATGCCAACTAGATTTTTGTCATTTACTGTAAAAATTTTCATTTTACTACTTTTATTTATTTATTTTTGTTATAATCTATTGAACTAAGTGGATTGTCTATTCAATTTATTCATAAGCTTATATTTCATCCGTTCACTTTTATTATCATATGTAACGATTGGGTTCAATCGATATAAAACATTCAACGAGGAAAAATTTTGAGTGGAAAAACTTTTTCGCAGGGGGTCATCGTGTTAGTTTTTAATAAGTTATGTTAGGAATAAAATATCTATCGTTATGTTTGTCCTAGTCTTTAAGAAGAAGTTTAAATGTGGGCTGTTGTCAAGTTTTTAGGAGAAAATCTTGGAGTAGTGGTTCCTAATTTTTAGCTTCAGTTTTTCTGCAATGTATTTGTTTTATAAAAGGATTGCTGCAGGCAGCGTAATAAAGTAGTCAGGAAATTTTTTATCACATACTGCCTCTGCTCTACTCCATCTAATTTATGTTCTTTTTTTCTATCACATCGGTGGTGTGGAGAAAGAAAAATAGTGAAAAGGAGAATGAGGTTGGAGATGGCACGAGGAACTGGTCACGACGGCAAAAAGGTTTATCGGCCGGAGGTGGTGGTGTGGCCACTTACGATTGCTGGTTCTGCGAAGATCGGAGAAGAGGAAAGGAAAACGTGTGCCGCAGAGTAGTCCAAATTTTACTTTAAGAAATAAATTAAATTTTTATTATTTTATCTTTCATTTAATAAATTAGTTAATAATTTTTTTTAATAACAATTAGAGAAGACAATGGTAATATATTATTAATTTAAACGACATGGATTTGTCCATGTCATCTATTCAAGGGAGAGTTAGTTACACACATGGTAAAAGAGGTTTAAAAATCATATTTTGATTTAGTTTAAGGATTTAGTTGGTAAATGATTAAGTAGAAGAAATTACCATACAAACACATACAATTATAGCGGTACACCAAACACTTTTGCCTAATATAAATTCAAAATTATTTAAAAAAGTAATAGAACGTCCGCATCGATTAAAGTGCCTTTTTTGAAAATTCAATAAGTTCAGCTGCCAGTCTTTTCTCTTAATAATTATTAAAACAAAAATATTTAAACCCTAAAATGAGAAGTCAATGTAGGTAGGTCCGAAGTAGGTGCAGATCTATGACTGATTTTAAAATCATAAATGAAGTGTGTGTGTTTTTAAAGTAATATCAATTAATATATTATCATGAAAACGTTCAAGTAATAGATCTATTTGTTATGTAATAATTTTATTTTATTATTTATCCTACCTCTTTATAGTAGCTTTATCTCACACCTTATTTTACTTTACCGTCTAAAGGATAAACAGTTTGGCGCATACCGTAGGCTAGGAGGATTGTGGTATTGTTTGGACCTTTTGATTTTCTCTTTTGCTAACCTGTTGAATTTTCATTTTGCTAATTGTATGGAAGAATGTGGATTGATTGAACTTTGGAGAGTTTTGAAGAAGCATTAGTGGGGTTTGGATTAGGTTGATTATGACATGTGTTTCAACACCTTTATTTACTACTTCCTTCGTCCCATTTTATGTGACACTTTTCAAATTTCGAAATTCAAATAAGTCTATCTTTGACCGTAAATTGTTCATAGATCTTTTAAGCATTTTGAATTATCAATTATTGTGACTTATACTATTTTTTACGTAGTTTATAAATATATAAATTTTATTTTTAAAAAATTGAAGCTTCGATGCACAAATTATCGGTCAAACTTAAATTGTTTGACTTTCAATAAAATAAAAAGTGTCATATAAATTAGAACAGTGGAGTATTAAGTTGAATTGAAAGGGTCATGACTACTTTGAAAGGAAGAGGGGTTAGAGGCAATAAAATCTTGCTTTCCCATTATTCGAAGTTTCACATCACAGTGAATTCAAGCCTAAGGAAAATGAAAAGTGTCAAAACAAATAAAGTCATTTGAAATATAGATGCAGATAGACATATATATGTATAAAATGTTACTCCACTAATTTTAAATTAATATTCAACTTATTTGATACAATTTGAATTTCGAGAGTTAAATCTAATTAATTTACCATTAATTCAAACATGGAATATTTAAGTTTTATAAATAAATTTACACATTTACAGTTCAAAATATTTTATAATATACGAAAAAGACATAATACATAAATGTGACATTTAGCTTGGCCTCAACATGTATGTTCTCCAATTTTGGGTGTGCATATGTAGACACTTAAATTTGTATATAGTTAAACAAGTAGATGTATGCATCCTACATGTGTAATGTCATATAAGACACACATGTCTAGTTATTTAATTTTATATAAATTTAAGTGAGGACATAAATGTGAGTTAAGACAAGTTAAATTACAAATTTAACAAGGGAGTGTAATTGATTATAAAAAAAAAAAAAAAAAAGGGACGTTGATACATTTTTGAACCTTTTCGATTGATGTGTTAGTTATAAATAAATAAGACAAATTAAATTACATCTTAACAGGGAGATAATTGATTATAAAAAAAAAACAAAAAACAAAATGGGACGTTGAGACATTTTTGAACCTTTTCGATTGATATGTTATAGATAAAAGTGAAAAGATCGAAGTGTAAAAAGAAGTGGTTTGTGGGTAGTAGTTTTATCTCACACATTTTTTTAATATGCTTATCATTTGAATTGTTATTGTGTGAAATTATAAAAAAAATATACTCTATTCAAACTTTATATTTAATAAAATAATATTATACATACATTATGAAATAATATGTAAAATCGGATCCGTAACAACCATCCAAACAAAAGGTAAGGAAAATGAAAAGAGTCAAACATTATAAATAAATACAAAGATGATATACCCCTCATGTGAAAAGACCTGATATATTGTTGAACTTTGTCATTTAAAGCTAATATACTTTCATTAATTTAATACTCCATCCGTTCATTTTTACTTATTACAGTTGGACTTGATACACCCATTAAAAAAATAATTGACGATATAAGTATTTTATCAAATTATCTCATATTAAATGATGTCTTGGAAGATGATTCAGGAAATAAGTATTTAAGTTTGAGAGTAAAACATGAAAAAAAATTATTGTCTATTCTTGATATGTAAAAAATAACAAATAAAAATATAAATTTATTTTAAAAACAAGTAACAAATAAAAGTGAACAAATTTTGGATATAAGAGATAACGAGTGTGATAAGATGCATTTATGATAGTAGTTGTATTGAATTTGGTGTTACAATGACAAAGTTGGCACTTCACCGTAATATTCTAACTTGCAAAATGATCTTCTAGACATATTTAAAATTTATGTTTCATATTAGTAGTATTGAATGTATACGAGCTATAAAGAAAATAAATTAGAGTATTTAATTGTTAATTAAAATCAAGTTAAAATGTCTAGAGATAGAAGACAGTGATAATTATATTTGATACATTTATTTTTATTTGTCACTGTTTGACTTAGTACATCCATTAAAAAAATAATTATTGATATATATATATATATATATATATTATACCAAATTATCTCTATTAAATAATGTTTAGTATGAAGTATTGAAAAATAATTTGGAGAATAAGTATTTAATAGTGAGCATAAAACATGAAGGAAAAAAAAAATCATCTTTTTTTAATATATCAAAAGTGAGAAGTAAAATTAAAAATAAAAGTTTTTTAGAAATAAGTGCAAGTAAAAATAACAGATGGAGCATTTAAAAATTTAAATATATATAATTATAAATAAAAAATGAAAACGTTCAAAAGGTGTCAAACAAACGTCATTATTGAAATTGATGTCATTATGGAGTATGGAGTACTCCTATTTATTGCTCCATCCGTCCCATTTTATATGATGTACTTTGATTTGGCACAAACTTTAAGAAAAATGGAAAGATTTTTAAAATTTGTGGTCCAAAATGAATGATAGAAATTTGTGTGATTGTAAATTATTTCATTAAGGGTAAAAAAGACATTTTATAGGCAAATTGTTACTTAAAATAGAAATGTGTCATTTTATATGATGTACTTTGATTTGGCACAAACTTTAAGAAAAATGGAAAGATTTTTAAAATTTGTGGTCCAAAATGAATGATAGAAATTTGTGTGATTGTAAATTATTTCATTAAGGGTAAAAAAGACATTTTATAGGCAAATTGTTACTTAGAATAGAAATGTGTCATTCTTTTTGGGACTGACTATTGTGACAGAGGGAGTACTATACACCCATATAATACTTAACTTATATATACGCGGCCATTTGGACAAAAATGAATATGTAATTCGATAAATTGAAATAGCTAATTGAGGAACAATTCTGCTGATGGAGCGTCGTCGTGAGCTTATTTTTCTGTGCTCTTCGCCTGGCAATCGGTGTTGGAATCTTATTTTATCTGAATTTAGCCCTAATTTCTATTGTTCAACTAATAGGCATCTGGTGAAACTTCCATCTTCTATAATTAGCAGATTTGCTGGTCCGAACGGTTTCTCTTTATTGAATTCATCAATCATGGATTATCTACGATCCGGGCAAGTTATATTCAGTTTACGCAGTTTAACCTGTGAGCATTTCTCTTCAATTTCAACAATTTGCTTTTCTGTGATTCTCTACGCCGCCTGCCCTAGCTGGGGTTTATCTACATGACAGAAAATTACATTATTTATAGTAGATATTTAATCTCTTAGTGAAAAATCCACTGGATGGTTAACAAATCTTACATAATCATAGTTTTTATTGGCGATTTGCACTCCTAATATCTGTAATTTGCGGGTATGGTCAATAAAATGTGTTGGATAGCATTTTATTTCTTAAAAGTTATTTTTTTTAAAAAATAAAATAAAATAAAAATGTTCATGTAAACAAAATTATTACTCTCTGACCCAATTTATATGACTCACTTTTCTTTTTAGTCAGTCCAAAAAAAATGACATATTTCTATATAAAGTAACAATCTAACTATAAAATATCTATTTTACCCTTAATGAAATGATTTAGGGCCACACAAATTTCTATCATTCATTTTGAACCACAAGATTTAAAAGTCTTCCTTTCTTTCTTAAACTCCGTGTCGAGTCAAAATACCTCATATAAAATGGGACGGAGGGAGTACATGGAATAATCACCTAAAATTGTTTTGAGTGATTTTGTTAGTGAAATATTAATAATTGAGTGATCATCTTAGAAATTACCTCCATGGCATGTTGTGTCTGTGAGAGCATATCCTTTTGAGGTAAGATGAGGGATGTGTTTAAAAGTTTTCAAATATATATACAAGTATCCTTCTTACTGAAACGACTGCGATAAAATAGAAACCATGAAATATTAGTTTGTATTACTGTAATTTGGTTTTCCTTCTTTGAGAGTAATTATATTGATCAAGAATATCTATATATGTGCAATTTGAAGGTTTAGTTTCCAGATGGATGCTGGGTCGGTCAAGGGGAATGCTTATTCGTTCTTTAAATATACTGGTCATGCATTGTCATAGTCTTCGTTGGCTCTCTTCATCATCTTGTACCTTGGTCGAAACTCATCAAGATACTTCACTATTTTCCAGTCATAACCAGTGTTCATATCCCAAAAAGGAATCTCCACGAAAGTTCAAAGTATATGTCCGAGTTGACAATGGAGAACATGCTTCAACTGGAGAGCGTGCCCTGCAACCCTTTTCATCATCTTGTACCCTGGTCGAAACTCATCAAGATACTTCACTATTTTCCAGTCATAACCAGTGTTCATATCCCAAAAGGGAATCTCCACGAAAGTTCAAAGCATATGTCCGAGTTGACAATGGAGAACATGCTTCAACTGGAGAGCGTGCCCTGCAACCCTTTTCATCATCTTGTACCGTGGTCGAAACTCATCAAGATACTTCACTATTTTCCAGTCAGTCTAGTCATAACCAGTGTTCATAACCCAAAAAGGAATCTCCACGAAAGTTCAAAGCATATGTCCGAGTTGACAATGGAGAACATGCTTCAACTGGAGAGCGTGCCCTGCAACAACCCTTTCATCATCTTGTACCGTGGTCGAAACTCATCAAGATACTTCACTATTTTCCAGTCATAACCAGTGTTCATATCCCAAAAGGGAATCTCCACCGAAAGTTCCAAAGCATATGTCCGAGTTGACAATGGAGAACATGCTTCAACTGGAGAGCGTGCCCTGCAACAACCCTTTTCATCATCTTGTACCGTGGTCGAAACTCATCAAGAGCCCTCACGTTCTTCCAGTCAGTCTTATCACAGAGAGAGTGATCAACGGCACAACCATAATATGCTAGGAAATAGTGAAACCACAGAGGGAAACGGAAATAATATGCCTCGAGGGAGAGCCTCAGCTAAGGAGTTAAGTCAGTTTAAGGCAAGAAATAGTATACCATGTGAGGACATTGAGACCTCTTCTGTGTCCAGCCACAAGAGAAAAAGTCAGGAGAAAGAGGCTCATTTTGAAGAACAGCCTACAGAAATACAGAACAGTAATCCCAAAAGGCTGGCAGTAAATCGTGCTAGTAGATACTCGTCTTGCCTCAACCCAATAATTGGGACTATTGAGGGCAATAACATTCCAAATTCAATCACTGTAAGCGCAATTTCCTTTTTGTGCCATCATTTCAACAATTATTATCATTGAACTGGATATATTATACTGCTAATAGTTTTCTTTAAACCATGACGAAATTCTAGACAAGTTTCTAAGCATCTCTTTGATTATAGTAGATATTATATATGTTGAGCTCTACTTGTCGACAGGGTAATGACGTGATGGATTCTACTCATATGGGAGTTCAACCTTCTCTTGAATCAATATCAACTCAGCCATTGAACTCATTTTCCAGCATTGAGAACATAAAGCTGCTTTTCCACAAATTGATGGTGTCATCTCTGAAGGATCTTAGCGAACCTGAAAAGGAAAGTTCCATGGAAAAAGTATTATCCATCCTAGCAGACAACCTCTCTTTGTTTTCAAAAGAACAAGCCGAACAAATAATTGGACTCTTGTTCAATTTTCCTGCTCTCGTGCATAGCTGGAGAGAATATTCTCGATTCCAAATGTACAGTCAGAAGTCCTCTGCTGAAACGAAGAAAATTAGAGATTTGGTGAAGACTTCAGTGAAAGATGAAGAGAATCTCAAGGTGAGATACGAAGAACTGGAGAACAAGGAAAAGGAATTGATGACACAATTGGACGCAGTGCAGAAAGAGAAGGCAGAAGTAGCTGAACAGAAGACTGAGAAATCCAAGCAAATCAAGGACTTGAGTTCTTTGGAAGAGGAGAAAGCAGTTCACCGGATGAAAGAGGAATGTTTGATGAGAATAACTACTACCAAGTTGAACAACTTATCTAATCAATGGGCTAAGCTACGATCTTTCTTTATGTAGAAAGAATTTGCTAATGAAACTTAAATATGTTTGTAACAAATTCAATATGCTTATTCTATTTGCGCAGTTTAACCTGTGAGCATTTCTCTTCAATTTCAACAACTTGCTTATTTATTAAAAAAAAACTTAAAACGGAAGGTATATATGCATTTTGTTCGTACCTTCGTTTGACAAAAAATAATTATTGTAACTTTGTCCGTAATATGCTAATTACTATCCAGGTTCAAACAGACCATTTATGTTCTGTTCTTCTATTTTTCTTTTAAAAAAAAAATAGTAAAAGAATTAATATTAATAACAATATATTTTTCTTGTGATTAAGATCCTAAGGAAGTGTGTTTTCTTACTACAAAAAATTGTTGTTAAGTATGATAGAGGAAGGAAAAGAAAAAATTAATAAATAAAATATAAAACAAATACTACAATAAATGATAACACAAAGTGGTATGGAATAAAATTAAACAGGTGAAGGTTGGCATGGAAGTGTTAGCCCAAAAGGAATATCATGGGATAGAACACAAAGTGGAACAACTGCAGGGGCGAATTTAAGTGAAAAATTTGGGTCACCGGAACCCGTGGTCATCCGGCTAAACTCGATATATCATTTGTATAATTCTTAAACTTATATTAAATATTAGTTAAAGGAACCCATGCACAAAATGACCAGATGGTTCACTGGTCGGAGGGCTAATTATCAAGTTGGAAGTCGCTGGTTCGAATCCAGCCAGCCCTCTATTTGCCTTTTTAAAAAAAAAAACAGGTCTATTTTATTATATTAATTAATAAAAGAAATCTCATTACAACTTTAATTAGCCAAAGGCATAAAATAGAAGGAAAATATATTTCAATTAATTGTCTTCTCTTTAGATCTAACGGAAATAAAAAAATAATTTTAAATTTATTATTTTTATTTTAATTATAAAAGATCCATGTAGGGTATTTGATCTTTTTCACACATGAATTATTTTTTGACTTATTTAATTAACATTTTTTGAGTTTCTTATTCTTATTTCTTTGTTTTTTTTGTTCACTTTAGTGTAAAACTAAGAGAAATCAAAAGAAAGAACTGTGAATGGAAAAAGTGAAAAAATTTTAGAATAATTTTTTTTGGGCTATATTGGAGTTTAAATATTATTATTTTTGTTGCTATATTGAAATTTAGTTTTTATATCTAAATTTTTTGGGTATCTATAATAAATTTTACAATAAAATTAGTGAAAGAAAATAAATTTGACCATTAAAATAATAAATCCAAATTAGCCGTTGAATAAAAAAAATCTAAAAAAAAATAATATGACAAGGATCAAATATACTCCTATATTAATTTATTTTTTAAATATTATTTTTTGCATTCGTTAGAGGAAAAGAGTATAGGTGAGCCATTTGTATGACATATATATATGAGTCACTTTCATAACAAGTTGCATATCAACTTTAAATCACAAAGTTGAGGTCTATATTAGATCATTTTCCCTACAATTTTAGATATTGTCCTTAAAGTAATAGTGCACCCGTCTTCTTGAAATTCTGGATTCGCCTTAGGGAACACGCTCGAACCAATCTAAAGACCATACAACTACAAATGAGAGACTACACAAGGCATGTCGAGCTGGTCAAAGATGAAGCAAAGGCAAGACAACAATTAGAAAGATGGAGCATGGTGGTAGAGAGCATTTTTCGACAAAAATCCAGAGTCCAATGGCTAAGGTTGGGAGACTCAAACGCCGCATACTTTCATTCTTTCTTGAAGAGTAGACAAACTCAAAATCGCACCTTAACGGACACTTCAAGAGTCTAACACCTTCTTAAAGGGTTAATTGAACCCCGAACCTTTTTGGTATTTTCAAATGATTTTTCTATTTAATTCTTTTGAAAATTATAAGTTTTCTTAAGAAATTAAATGGCGACTCTTATATAAAAAAAATTGGGTTTTCTTTAAAAGTTAAGTTGAATCGAATTTGTATAACATAAGTCTCTTATTTAAAAAAAAAAACATAAAACAGAAGGTATATGCATTTTGAATAGAAAGGGTCACGACTACTTTGAAGGTTAGAGGGTTTGAGTCGAGAAAATGAAAAGTGTCAAAACGAATAAAGTCATTTGAAATATAGATGCAGACAAATAATATATGTATAAAAAGTTACTCCACTAATTTTAAATTAAATTGAATTTATTTGACACAGTTTGAATTTGTAGAGTTAAATTGATTAATTTATCACTATTCAAACATTGAATATTTAAATTTTTATAAATAAATAAAATTTACATATTTGGAAGTTACATAAGAGTACTATAAGTCATAATAATATACAATATATGAAAAAAAAAACATAATACGGGAATTGTGTTATTTAACTTGGGTAGACCATTAAATTTGTATAAAGTTGAACATTTACATAAAATATATGGTTTAGTTATACAAATATAAGTGCAAGACATTGATGTGAGTTAAGACAAGTTAAATTACGAAATTAACGAGGAAGCATAATTGATTATATATATAAAAAAAAATAAAAAAAAGGGGGAATGTTGAGACATTTTTGAACCTTTTGGATTGATGTTTTATAGATAAAGTGAAAACAAAAGTGGTATTTATGTGGATGAGATCCATCCATAATTTGTGGATAGCATCCTAGATGCTAAAAAAAGAAGTAAAATGCCAGTCGACTTCGACGACTTGATGAAGGGTTTGTATCCGGCGGTAAGTAGAGACGATGAACAAGATGCTGGAAACATGATTATGGACTGGTCGAATACACAGGTAAGTAGAGATAATTGAGAGTCTTTGAGGTTTGCTTGTACAGAAGAATTTGTAACATTTTGCAAAATCGCAGGGCTTCTTACAGGACAAATATTTGTTGTCAGACCCACAAGTTAATTATGATCATCAACTGGTTGAAGGTACCTCAAAGGGACAACATTTGTTGCCCGGCTCACTGGAAACCAATGCTAGTTGTGAATTTGACAACAGAAATTTTGATATTTCATGGGTGCTGTCTACGGTAAGTGGAGATTCTGAAGTAATTTTACTTTTATCTGCCAAATGATTAATCGAGTTTAATTAACATCACAAGAATGCAAAGTGGTTACATATCTTCGAGACACAATAACAACTTAATTGATCCATCAATGTGCTAACATACAACTTTTATTTATCTTGATTTGCTTGTAAAATTCAATTAAGTTCCACATTTTTGTTATTTCATAAAATTCAATTAGATTACCAAAGAAAACTTTAGTCGTTTTTACTAGTTCATGTCTCCTCGTTCTGTATATTATTTTATTTTGAAAATACTCTTTAAATTTTATTATTTCTTATCAAATTCTTCAAAGTTTTATTCTAAGTATCTTAGAAATACAGGATAACCAACCGTTTACAGAGTACGGCATAGAATCACTGAAAACAAATCATGAAATGCCTTATGGCAAGGAATGCCAGGACTCTGCAGTTTACTTGGAAGGTAAGCTCTGTCGCCCCCAGTAACATGAAGCTTTTTCTTGTACTAGTGGAATTTTCTGTTTTCATTTTAATCTTCTTGGTGCTGCAGCTAGTGTCTCTGGATTCAAGCGAAACTGCACTGAGGTTGGAAGTAACCCGTGGCCAGATTCCAATAGGGTTTTAGGAACTGTTTCGACTATTGAGGGCAATAACATTCCCAATTCAATCACTGTAAGAATAATTACTCTTTCCTTTTTTGGGATTCTCCTTTTTTATATATATAAGTGGATAAAGGGTTTTGTTTGGTATGAAGGATAAAAATAAATGGTGACACGATAAGAAAATAAGGATGGGATAAATTTTTTGTATCTTGTTTGGTTGTCATGTTTGGGATAACTTATCCCACCATTTATATCTTAGTGATGGAATAAACTATCTCATATACATGGTGGGATAACTTATCCCAGGATAGCTAACTTCAAGATATAACTTGTTCCAACCAAACGACCCAAGCCTTTCTTGAAACCATGAAGAAATTCTACGCAAAAACGTTACCTTTAACACAAAAAATGAAAATGTGGTCCGACAATGAAAACAAGAAGCTTTGCCGACGACAAAGGGTACGAAGAGAACTATGCTAAATTAAAGTTATACCAGAATATCATTCATCTTTTGTGGCCTCAAACATATCACGTGGAAAACTAAAGTTAAGTGTTACAAAAAAAGTGGTTAGATATTTTCAATGTGCTAAGATACAACCTTTATTTATATTGATTTGCTTGTAATTCAATTAGGCTACACATTCATAATGCTTCTTCATCCTTGTAGTTAGATTGATTATGAAAGAACCCTTATTCAAAGTCTACGTTCTGGTTTTGCTAGTTCATGTAGTATTAGTTGATATTGCCAGCAAAATAGATTGTTCGTTTATTTTTCTTCTTATGATTGTCTGGGATATATACATCTCCAATCATCTTAAAGCTGAATATTTTTAATGTTGTTTGCACAGAATGGACCTGATCACATATCTCAAATTGTAGAATCACCGCAAACATGTGATGAAAAGCATTATGGCAATAAAGGCAAAGAGACGGCAGATACCTTTAAAGGTAAGCTCTGTCACTCCCCGTAAGATTAGGCACTACCTCAAATCCCATCCTCTAATGGATAAGCTTTTTTTTGGATTAGTGGAATTTTATGTTTTAATTTTAGTTAAATAATGACAAAAGTCCCACATCGGTGGTTAATGAGATGA